GAGATTGAAAGAGGTAAGTGTGTAAATCGATCCCTAGAATCAGCACTGACGCGCAACAGAAATGAACAACCGCATTGCTTTCATCGACTTTGTCCGTGGTCTGCTAAACATTAACCCACTGGAACGGTGGTCCCCCCAACAAGCGAAGCTGCATCCTTTTATCACTCAACAGAAGTTCACCCAGCCATTTGTCCCGCCGATGAACTTGAAATCTCCATCGAGCAAGACTCCTGCGCCAGGCGTGCAACAGCAACAGCAGGCCGAAGCTCTAAGCAAGCAAAGAGCTGCTCAAGCCGCACAAGCTCAGGCCCATGCTCAAGCTGCACAGGCACAAGTCCAGGCCCAAACTGTGGCCCAGTCCGCATACGCCATGCAAATGAGCCCATATCCTCAAACGCAGCCTCCACCCATGTACAATACTATGTACCCTGCTCATCAGCAAGGCGCTCCGCCCCCGTACCCAACGCACTCGACAAATTACGCACCTCAAATGGGTATGATGCCCCAGCAAAATCCACAGATGAATCCTAGCCATTACAACCACCAACAGAGCTTGTATGCACAGGCTACGCAAAGAGCAGGCCGACAGCGTGCTTCGACTATGGATCAACAACAAGCGGGGATTCCACCCACAATTCAACGAGTGGCTAGCCATCTCGACCCAAATCAGCCCATCAGACTCCAGCCAAGTCCGGCTTATTACCCACCCCCAGCTGATGGTTATGTTGATTCTCCATCGACCGCTCGGAGACGCGGCAGTCGTAATCAAAGAAATCGTGATTTCATCCGCACTTTGGAAGACGGTGCCATGAATCAATGGCATTGAAACGGGAAGAGTCAAGTTGGCGCTGAGCTTTGCTCTTAATCCCAGATGGCGGGGCCTTGCCTGTCCTATATTGGCCAAAACCCCCCTGAAAGTGTATAGGTGGCCAACGACTGCGGAGAGGTCACCGTTGAGACTATGGTCAGGCGCGCAAGTATCCCGCCGACTAAACGTCGTCTCGCCTGCTAAGCCCGACCGAAGTGTATCCTAAATGGATGATAAGACTTCAACGACCATTTAGGTGGTTCTGTGATCAAGATCTCAGCTATGCGAAGAGCTACGAAGGACAGTGATGATGAAATGAAAATGTGGCCTGCCCATAAGATTGGACTCTCGAACATCTTTTTTGAGCAAGCTACATCGGTATCTGTGGCGGCATTGGCAAGGAGGGAATGGCCTAGACGTCTGACAGTTATGTACAGAGGTCTGAGTCGAACTGTTGGGAGACATCGTGCGAGTACGGAGGTCGCCATAGCATTTGAGAAATTTTGGGCCTTGTACCATATGCTTCTGTCACAACACGAGTCAACAAAACTAGTGAATCGTTCGTCTAGATGTGTAAAGGTCAAATTTCTCCAGCCGGAAATGTATTTGTCGAGTGTACGTCTTCCTTAAGGTGAGATTCCTGCTGCCTCGTAGTCGCTCGTTGAGTCACAACCTTTTGACGGTGGCTTCGAGTCGGCGGAGATGGGTCACGTGATAGTCTCTTGGCGAATGGCCGCGCACCAAGAAATCGCTCCCATCAAATGGATGCCTCCGAAGTTTTTATGAACACTGCACAACGACGAGGAAATCTCGCCTCAGACATCAATTCCATTACATCGTCCCAGTAGTCACGATGTCGTCACGATTCTTCCACGGAGGAGACTCCGACAGCGAGAGCAGTTCGTCCGAGGAGGAAGAACTCTACGGTGAACGAGCAGAAGCGTCCGAGGAGGAATCCGAGGAGGAAAGTGAAGAAGAAGAGGAGGATTCTGATGATGAATCGTCCGAAGATGAAGGTCGTGGTACGGGTGCCAGCCGGTTCTTGAAACCATCAGGGCCCGGTGGCGATGATTCAGATGAAAGTGAGGACGAAGACCGCGAACGAGTGGTCAAGAGCGCGAAAGACAAGAGATTTGAAGAACTGGAGAGCACAATCAAATTGATCGAGAACGCCGAAAAGATCAACGATTGGGCTGTGATTTCTACAGGTTTGTTGTATGCCATCCCATGCGCGAAAGTTGCGCTGACATGTGCCAGAATTCGACAAGATGAATCGCCAGGTCGTGAAAGTCGTTCAGCAAGGCGCCTCCCCCAAGATCTACATCAAGATCATAGCCGATCTCGAAGACTTGATCAACGAGACCAATGATAAGCAGAAATCCGGCGCCAAGAAAATGAATCCCATAATTGCCAAAGGCTTCAACGCCATGAAGCAGAAGATTCGGAAGAACAACAAGGACTATGCTACCGAGCTCGAGAAGTACCGGGCAAACAAGGACGAATTCATGGAGTCCGAAGACGAGGAGGTTCTCGAGGTTGAGCAAAAGACTCGCAAGAGCAAGGTCCAAAGACTGGATGATCTTGAAGCTGCTATCGATGAAGAAGGCTTCGCCACCGTCGGCAGAGGTGGAAAGGCCCTTGTCTACACGCCTGAAAGCATCCTGAAGCATCTCCGCACCATTGTCGAGTCTCGCGGCAAGAAAAACACAGACAGGACCGAACAGATCCGCATCATGGAGAGATTATTGGAGGTTGCCAACACACCTTATCAACGGATACGAGTACTGTTGACAATCATCTCTACGAGATTCGATGTCACTACTACTTCGGTCCAGGCGTACATGTCACAAGAATCATGGCGAGCGGCGGAGCGAGAATTTTCTTCCCTCTTGCAGACGCTCGAGGATGAGCCTCAATACATGGTGACGGAGGTGGCTGATGAGTGGGAAGACGACGACAAACAACCCGGCCCTGCTGCTGGTGAGATCTTCAAGATTCCCGGCAACATTGTGTCCCTCATGGAGCGACTGGACGATGAATTGACACGTTCCCTACAACAAACCGATCCTCATACTGCCGAGTACATTGAAAGACTAGGCGATGAACAACTCTTGTACACCGATATCGTGCGAAGCCTCATCTACATCGAAACAATCAATAAAAAGTTGGAGAAATCCGAAAACCGACAGGACAATATCAACAGAACTATCATCAGACGGCTAGAACACATCTACTTCAAGCCTATCCAAGTGGTCAAGATCCTGGAGGAGAAGAGTTGGGCCGCTTTGCCAACAAGCCTGAATTCGGCACTAACTCCTCGTGGCGAGTTTACAGAGGTTGCGCCACTCGTTCAGACCCTTTGCAACCATCTGTTCGAGAACAGTGAAGGCATCATTCGCGCACGGGCTATGCTCTGCGAGATTTATTTCCTCGCCTTACAGGACAACTACTACCGTGCTAGAGATCTCGCTCTCATGAGTCATCTGACCGAGAACATTTCGTCCTTTGATGTCAGCACACAAATATTGTTCAACCGAACGCTCGTTCAAATCGGTCTCTGTGCGTTCCGAGCAGGACTCTGCTACGAGGCTCAGGGCGTCTTGCAGGAAATTTGTGGCTCCGGCCGTCAGAAAGAACTGCTCGCACAAGGTGTTATCATGCAGAGATATTCCACAGTCACCCCAGAGCAAGAACGACTCGAGCGACAACGACAACTTCCTTTCCACATGCACATCAATCTCGAGTTGTTGGAGTGCGTCTACCTCACTTGCAGCATGCTTCTTGAAATTCCTCTCCTCGCTCAAACGGGATCTTCACCTGATATCCGGAAACGAGTCATCTCCAAGACTTTCCGGCGAATGCTCGAATACACCGAACGACAGGTTTTCCAAGGCCCGCCAGAAAACACTCGGGACCATGTAATGCAAGCAGCCAAGGCTCTTGCGCAGGGTGACTGGAAGAGGTGTCAGGAACTTATCAGCAAGATTGCCATCTGGGATCTTCTGGGCAGTGACAAGGACAAGATCAAGGAAATGCTTGCAGAGCAGATCCAAGAAGAAGGCCTAAGAACATATCTGTTCACATACGCCCCGTACTACGACACTCTTTCCATCACCACCCTATCCGGCATGTTCGAACTCGACGCTAAGAAGATCGCGGCTGTTATTTCGAAGATGATCTCGCACGAAGAACTGGCGGCAGCGCTCGACCAAGTCAACGATGCTATCGTTTTCCGCAAGGGCGTGGAGCTGTCCCGCTTGCAAAGCCAGGTCATCACCCTTTCAGAGAAGGCCATGGGTATCCTCGAATCGAACGAGAAGGTCTTGGAGACCAGAACGGCAGGCATGGCAAATGCATTCCAACGCGACCAGGGAAACAGAGGCGGTCGTGGTCGTGGCCGTGGCCGTGGCGGGGCAAATCTGGGAGGTTTGGGTCGCGGGCAAGGTCAACAACGACAACCGGGCGGTCAGCAGTTCGGTGGCGGAGCGCTCGGTGGTGCGATCAAGGCTTAGGTTTAACGCGTATGCTAAGTACGATTGTGACATGGATTGGTCGCTGCGCTTTTGACGACGGCGGTGTAAAAGTGCTCAGAAATTTCTCAACGTTGTATGAGGTGCAGTGGATGGCTACAGCATGGCGCTCGTAGCTGTCATTATGGCCAATCTGCCGAATAGAAGTTGCAAGTAGAACTATGTGACTATTCAGCGCGACAACTAGGCCTTTGATCATATGGACCGAGTCTTTCTCGAAACTATTACGCTCTTGTGAATCATATCCCAGGTAATAAGTTTCCTGGCAAGTCGGATAGCACGTATGAACCCTCTAGGAAGGGAGATGGCTTAGTAGGGAGCTTGGATGTACTGGAGCGAGACCTGATCTAACTAACACAAAGGGACAGAGGATGGGTGTGGGCAATACTAGTAACGCAGGTGACCCTGGACTACAGGAGCAGTGACTGTATGTGATCAGAGTGTCTGAAGCGGTGCGACACCCGACAGCTCTCCGAAAGGCTGCTTTGTACACAGTGCCCCAGGTACCATCATGTGCTGTCGGCTTACCTTCCTCGCTATCCCACAGACCTGACTGGAGCCCACAGCACAACTGCCGATAAAGCAAAAAAAAGAAAAAGAAGATGAGGCTGTGGGAATTTAACCCACCAGCTTGTGGTAGCATCTTGAATGTGTTTCAATGATGGTCCATATGGGGGTCGAACCCATGGCCTCCGCGTTATTAGCACGGCCTGTGAGAATTGTTAGGTAAACTGCAAGTAATGACTTGGCTGATGATGCTTACGCTCTAACCAACTGAGAGATTGTTAGTTGATGTTCTAACTGTTCGAAACAGAAGAGATATGTACCTGAGCTAACAGACCAGACAATGCTGGTGATTTTGATGTGAATTTGAGATATTTAATTAATATAGGCTGATTTTTGACATGTCTGTGTGCCACTGGCTGCCTTTGCGCTTGTCCTCGGCAATCAACCCACGCCAGCCCCACTAACTTAACTTAGGAACTTACCTAGCACTCCTTGTAGGTAGCACGACGACAACCCCGAAAACATCCAGGTGGGTGCCAGGTCAATAGAATGGTGATAGCCGTGTGAGAGATACATCTTGATTTTTCCAATATCTGACAATGCGTTGCGAACAAAGGTGACCCTCGCTGAGAGATGACACGAGTACAAGAGCCGTAATTAAAGGATCCCAACAGCTCATTCAAGAGCTACCTTTTGCCTTGTATGTGAAAAAGAGTCCTTGACTGAATTCAATTCAAAGTCATTGTCGTTCTCATCAACGGCGAGACATCCTGAATTATCGAAGTACAACAGCTCCGATGCCACTATCAGGTTTGTCTTCCTCAACTTTTGCGCCTCAGGCTCTGGAATATATATTCCATTCTGACCCTTTCGCTACCGCCAGCTTTGCAGGCCCGCTAACACGGCTCTCTACGATCAAGCCAGTATCCGCCAGAATCAACGGACCTGCAGAAACGGTTCAATGGATGTTGGTAGGTCGAAGACTTGCGAGGAAGACGCACTGTGAGGAAGTAAGCCACGCAGCCTTGTCACGTGCTGTTCGAACGACGAGGCTCTGACACGTAAGGTATCTTTCAGGACTGGCACATTCTATTTTCATCGTATAGTTGGAAGCAGCAGGCTTTGCTATAGCCGGGCTGAATCGATGCCGCATTCTTGAGCAGCAAAGCCGCCTGTTTGCCTCCTCTTCTCGACGTCCTCCTTAGGCAGGTACGACAGCAGCCACTCTCCAGCACCGAATTTCCTCCAGACCAGAGGATCCTCTCCTCGCTTCAGATTGCCCCATTCGAGAGACTCGCCCCGCTGGTCTTGCTCGTACAGCTTCTGGAACGCCTTCATCTTCTGATCTCGATCCATCTGTTCAGGACCATCATCGTAATGGTTAATATCCTGCTGTATATTCCCTTTCTCCACGATTCTGTTGGTTCGCTTCATGCGACAAGACTGGTAGACTTCCAGTGCCTTCCGGCGCTCTTTCATAGCTGATTTGGTGATTCCTGTCAGACAGTGACCAAGTACTGCTCCATCCTCGAATGACATTCCGGCTCCGCTGGCGAGATATGGCAATGTAGCATGAACAGAATCACCAAGGAGCACCATGCATCCACTTGGGTGGATCCAATTCTCAATTGGATCCCAGATCGACAACCGCCATCGCAACACAGACTTGCACTTCGACAGAAGCTTCCCGACCCTGCGGACTCGATTAGCACAGGCTTGTCACAGATTCACACCTGGGTGGGGATTTACCTTGGATCCCAGTCTTTGAACAACTCCTGCATCTCATCTACCTGTCCTGCTAACGTCGATGGGCCATCCTCTGGCATGTCATCTGGCACCAGAAGTACCATGTTCAACAGTTTCCGTTGACGAAGTGCATAGGTAACTGCGAATGTAAGCCTACCATCCTGAAGACATCTCCAGCACACTTACCAATATGTGCCCCGGGCCCGTACCAATAGGTCACAGCTCGGTCTTCAACAATCGGCTTCAGCTCAGGGTCTGCTCGGACTTCGTCACCGTCTAGCAACAGTCGGTACGCCATGTCTCCGGTGCGACGTGGGTAATCTTGTTTTCCAAGGATGAAAGCTCGACACCGAGAATGAAGTCCGTCTGCACCAACAACAAGATCTGCCTGCCATTCCTTGCCGTTTTTGGTGGCCACGAAGGCCAGGTTGTTGTCGGTGTCGAATCGGACATCAGTAACCAAAGAGTTGACATGTACTTCGGCACCAAGTTCCATTGCTCGATCGAAGAGGGCTCTATGCAAGTCGGCGCGATGTAGATCATAGAAAGGTGAGCCATACTCTTTCTCGGCGGAGATGAAGTCCATCGACGAGATGAGCTGTCCCTTCCAACCCAGAATGTCGCATGAATCTGTCGTGCATATCCTGGATGGATCGATCTTGTCGAAAACGCCCCATGATTTGAGGACTTTACTGCTGTTTGGAAGCACTTGAATTCCTGCTCCAACTTCTCCTATCTCTTGGGCGGATTCGAGGACGGTCACATTGTGTCCAGCAAGCCGCAAGGCTATGGCAGCACCAAGTCCTCCAAGGCCGGCTCCAACAATGAGAATCTTCACGAGTGTCAGCTGGGGGTTGGCAACGCATGGAATTTGGAATATTCACATCTAGTCCCGACATACTGACCTAAACCGACAAATTTTGGAATTTGACAAGCTTGAACCTCCGGAGATATCGAGAAAGAAGCCTTTGAATGGCGAAAGGACACTCTTGTGCCGCAAAGGTGATGCTTGTATCCGTATATCCCCGCTGCCTTTCAGCCTCTTTCCTTGCAATTGGGCAGCTCAAAAACCGACACTCAAGGCTCTGGATCTAGCCTCGCCCACGAAGCCGCGTACCGCCTGTTCTTGCGGACTGGATACGTGTCCAGGTTGTCAAGACCGCGGTCAGATAAGGGTGGGCATCGAAGAGTGGGGAGACGGAAATAGAAAGTGGATATTTACCCAGGAAACTCGCAAGGCTGAACAGCCGACAATTACCTAAGCGACCACTTTCTGCCGGCCGATTTTGTCGAGCTACGTTTCTGGCTATTATGGTGGAAGAAGGAACAGGTCCCCAGCAGACATGGAAGTATACACCTACATTCTTTACAGCGCTCCATATTCGACATAACTGTCGGAGTGCATGGACAAGTCCCTGTCACATAACTAACTAACTACTTCGGACAAAACCGACAATCTCTGACGCGCTTGTCCGGCCCTGGTCATCGATCACCGTGGATGTACGGAATACCAGGCGGATTGGCAAATGTTGCATCGGCTGTCGTACAAGAAGGTCCATCAATTGATGCCTGCATGGAAGCATTCTGGCTGGCTGTACATTCACCGTACGCTCTTGACGAAACTCGACAGCGACTGCTGTACAGGATAGTCGACAGAAGAGTTTATAAAGCCATTCCGCTCCGGAACAATCTGGGCTTCGCTAGTCTGGTATCGTGCCATGTTGAGGATGCGGCTCCTAAGTTTTATATACCGACAACTGGTCGATCCTTGCTTGGCTCATCACAACGCACTTACCAAAAATCCGGGGTTGCTGCAAGGATGGGTATCTCAAAGAAGAATGGGGACGGAGATGCCCATGCTCGGCCTTCTGACCACTCCGACTAATGAGCCAATGAACAACCCACATTCGGGCCTCATTGTCCTCTCCCGAATCATCCAATGGACAATGGCACTGGTGATTCGGGACACGGCTCGCTAAGGCCGAGCTATCCAGTAAGAGGAGTGAACGCCTTATCTTTGATGAGCAGATGCGGTCGCGTAGACGCTACCAGGCACAGTATCAAGTCCAGACCACGAACAGCCGTTGATTGCTACCGCCCATGAGAGATGTACGATCTCTCCAGCATCAGAAGATCGGCGACGGGTTCAGGCAGTGCGTTGATCGACCGCTCATACATATAGGGTCAATCCTCTGCAGTAGCCATTTAGTCGAATACAAGTACAGCACCCGCTACCGAGCTCGTGAGCACCATCAACGGAAGTCCGATCTCAACGATGTCCCTTCCAGTGTCGACGCCAGAAGCATGGGGCACCGCTTCTCGAGCGGTGCTGTATGTCTTGACTTTCAGTGCTCTGACCTTTGCAGTAAACTACAACTCCTTCCAGCCATATGAAGGAGAGGCTAACCAAATCAACAGGGATACTATATCATCCCATATATCTCCAACAAGGGCAAGATGAATGACATTCCCGGGCCATTAGTAGCCAAATTATCGAACTTCTGGAGTCTTTACTGGGCAAGGTAGGTCACAACAATGAGCAACACATCGAAGCCGACGCAACCTGACTGGTGGACAAGACAGCATCAGCTATCGTGGGTCACGCATGATCTTCACAACAGATATGGAGACTTCGTGAGACTGGCACCAGACCATGTCAGCATCTCCCACCCGGACAGCATCAGGGTATGTTTGCCCTTTCACAGCATCAATAACGTGCCGTCAACGTTTGCTCCTCACCTAAGTCAGGCTGTGGACTGACATGAAAATGTCATTAGGATGTTATGGGCCACGGCAATGGTTTCACCAAATCCGAGTTCTACTATGCCTTCGACAACATCCAGTCCGGCATCTTCACGACTCGAAACCGAGCAGCACACAGTCGCAAGCGGAAATACGTCTCCCATATGTTCAGCCCCAAGGCGATGGTTGGCTTCGAACCATATATGACCAGTGCCATCGGAATGATGGCCCAGCAGATGAACTCCTTGATTGATACAGGCCGTGCTGGTCGCTACACTTCTTTGGCGGCAGTCGATCCGGAGATCAAAGCGCGACAAGGCAAAGGCGAGGCTGCTATCGACGTTGCTCAGTGGTCGGCTTTCCTTGCATTTGATATCATTGGTGACTTGGTATGTTCTCTTACTCGTAGACACGGCCTCTACGACTTCGCGGGGGACTGATATTGTCTAAGGCTTTTGGAGAACCATTCGGTTTCACCGCTCTCGGGCAAGACACGAACGGCGGTATCAAGAAGCTTCGCGATCGCGGCGAGTGGTGCGCTACCATCGGCCAGATGCCTTGGATAAAAAGTGCGTCTTAATTCCTTGTCCTTTACTTATACTCTTTCCCTGAACCTATATTTGAAGAAACGTAGAACTAATGTACTTCCGTGCAGCATGGACACCGTACTTCTTCTTCGACAGCTTCTTCACCAAAGGCCTACAAGCCACCAAGGACCTGGCAGCCATCGGGATTGCGAAGGTCGAAAAG